CCTTAATTTGCTCATAGGTGATCCCCTCGAAGGTAAAAAATGTCTTGAGGCAGTGCCCCATGAGTTCTATGAGATCCTGAGCTGTGGGCTGGCCATCGCCCTCGTCGTAATTCTGACGAAGCAGGTCACTGAGCGTCTCGACTAGACAAGGTTGGGTTGACTAACCGTATGGCCACTGCCTCTGCCGTCGCAAGTACCTCCTGATACAGGAGCTTGGAGTGTCTCGTCGGCATTTTACTGATGGCTGGGAATGCCTGCTTGACGTATACCCTGTGGCCTATCTCGACCAAGTGAGCCACAGTCGCCCTAGAGAGGGGCTTTCCCCTACCTTTATCTAGACAGACAGGATGGTTCTCCTGCATCTACCAACACTCATCATAACAAAAGAATACTACCAGTCGGAGCTAACGTGCCAAGGCATAGTTGACCAGTGGGAAGTCAAAGTGTGCCAATTTCGGTAATTTCGAATAAAAGTACATCGACCGCACGTAGACTTCAACTAGGTTCGTATACACCATCCGAACATATTAACGTTGCAGGCTTGAAAATTAACCTAGCCGAGTGGTTGGCAACTTTTTATATCTGAATTCAGTCGTCGCTTGCATTCCTATTCACGGTTAACTTAGATCAGGTAGTTCCCACTTGATGGTGACTGCTTATCAAGAAACCTTCTGAACTAGTCTACCATCATGTCAACAGGCGGAAATATTCTTGATGACTTTTGCGGACAACCAAACAGCCTTCGGATGGCAAACTGACAACTGTCTGTTGATGTTTTCGGCGAAACGTTTCATGGATGTCCTTAATCAGTTGTGCTTTACGTATGCTTCATGCTAAGCATCACGACGGGTGCTGTACGGGTATCTGCATAGCGGTTCCACCGTTTAGGTCACAGCAGGTTGTAGCATTTGTCTTGTGCAGCCGGTAGCCACTTACTACGTCTCATCCCTAGCTTTTCTAATCTAGACTCTGTCTGCAGCCGCAAACTGGTAACCGCCTCGACCGGTGAGCTAAACCAGATGAAGGTATCCGATGTTGTGCACGTACCTGCACTCGATGTTTCTGCTCCCTATCTCATCTTGCCCCCTCCCCTTCCCCTCCCCTTCATTTCATCCTCTTCCTTCCCAATTCAAAAGTCCTACGGTGAGGGCGATATGGGATCCCGACGGCGACCCAGGCTAACTCAGGTCTTTCTCCACCGAACAAAGCCGTGACCCATATTGGAGTTCGGAAACCGCCTGGCATATCTATGCAAACGCCAATGCGTGTTAGCTGCACTTTGTCACCAGTTTGAATTTGTCCTTGACGATTTCGCATGTGGCGTCTAGATCGATATGCCAATTGATGCCGGCCTCATCTGACTGCATTGCTTCCAGGAATTCGTGGCGTTTCCTTATTGAGCAGGCTCCAACATTGCGATTGCTCGCCCATGCAAACTTGTGCCCAATGTCTAGTGCGTGCATGGCCATATCGGATAGGCGACCGCGTCTCTTCACCGCTAACTGGTGTTCATGCATAGGGATTGAACCAGATTTCTCAGTTTGACCAAAATAGACGGCACTGGCTACTGGCCACAATCTCAGCTAGGTGTGCTGTAGACCACCGCTGATTGCTCTGTCACTGGCAGTGGGTCTTTAGGCCTCACGAACTGCTGTCTGACTGTCGATGCCGGTCTATGAACCACAGCAATCGTAAAAGGTTTCGAGATTCCTGACGTCGCCTATGAAACATTCTTCAGATAGGGGATCGAGAGCCGGAACGTTGGCTTTTCCTCGCTCGACCGCCCAGATTGGGGCCTCCTGAGAATCGCGCCTCAAATAGGACATGCAAGTATTTCACCTCCTTCTCCTGCTACAATGTGCTTGGGCGTGTTGGGAAAGGGTTCTGGCAGAACTACGTTTGCGACCGACAGGTGATTGCTTCTGCAGCGGAGGAGGCACCTAGTGTTAGCTGCCTTACGGTAGACCGTCCTTTTTATGTTCCCGTCTGCCAGTTTTGCAACTTGTACGCCGAGAAAGGGCAAGTGATTGTTGACCTCTTCTTCCATGATAAACTGCACGTCGGGAAGGATTGAATTGAACAGTGCTTTGAAAGCCTGAATTTCGCTCATTTTTATAATGCCGAATGTGCCGTCCATATATCTGACCCAGGACCTCGGGGGTGCGAGATGAATACAAGCCGCTCAGGTCTCTGCAAAACCGCTTCGACAATTAGTCCAGACAGAGGCGAGCCCATCGGCTCTCCCTTTTTGACCCATACACCTGGTCATTAAACTGTGAAGGAGGTGGTGGAGGGGCGCTCACCGATCGTGTTACGGAAGTCACTTGTCCCGTTATACCTTAGGGCTCGCTCTCTCGAGTCCAACCAGCAGCCGCATAGCGGCGCGTAATATAGGCAGAGTAACATTACCGACAAAGACAAGGGAGACTGGAATGCCAACTTCTGGCTTATTCGCCGTCGTCAGCCAGTCATACCCAACCCCGAGGTGTGGAACACCTGGGGTTCGATCCCTCGACCTGTTGGTTATAAGTCCAACGCCCTGACTACTGAGTTACAGACTCGTTGTCCTGTCGGTTGCAATGGGGTTGCAAACGTCCTTCTACTACTGGATAATCCCGATCGCAACTGACAGTACAGCGAGTCCGTGGCTCAAAGGCTAGGGTCCTTGGACTTCTGACCAACAGCTCTCGCCCCAGGACCGCCAACCTATGCTGGCATCATGTCAACTATGGCGATAAGGCGCAGCGCTGTGTCCCATCCTGCTCCTTCAAGTCCACGCAGGGAAACTCCTCGGCAGGAGAGTAAATGCGGCCGAGCTCTCTGGCAACTGTACGGGTTTCACCTTTTACGTCAGTGATAACACGAGTGGCAGGCACTTTTTACTCAACACTGGCGCTACAATTAGTGTTATCCCTCCTATGCCAGCCGACCGACGTTGCCCAAACCATGGTCTTTTCCTTCAAGCCGCAAACTCATCCCGCATTACAGCCTTTGGATTTCGATCTCTCTCCCTAGATATCGGTCTCAGGCGATTATTCTCCTGGATATTTGTGGTGGCTGATGTTCCCACCGCCATCCTTGGTGCTGATTTTTTGACCGCCTTTGAACTTCTGGTGGATTGCAGGCAACTTCGCCTCCATGAACGTGCAACTACCCTCACCGTCAAAGGATTTCCTTCATACTCCGCTTCCAACCATCTATCCGTCATTGACCCAATCCCTGACTGTCCATTTCGTAGACTTTTAGCAAAATATCCTACTCTCACTAAGCCCCATTTTTCTGACGCCTCATTGCTCCATGATATTGTTCATCACATAAAAACAACTAGTCCTCCCGTTTTCTCTCGTCATCGCCGCCTTGCTCCCGCGCGCCTTGCGGCTGCTAAAGTTGAATTCAATCACATGCTGCAGCTAGGGATTATTCGACAGTCTGACAGTCACTGGGCATCTCCTTTGCACATGGTTCCTAGACCAAATACTGATGATTGGCGTCCTTGTGGCGATTATAGAGCCCTGAACAATATCACTATGCCCGATCGGTATCCGGTTCCTAACCTTAAGGACTTTGCCGGAGCTCTCTGTGGCAAAACCGTTTTCTCTAAGATCGATTTGGTGCGGGTTTTTCATCAACTTCCGATTGCAGCTGAGGACATTCGTAAAACGGCAGTGACGACTCCTTTTGGCTTGTTTGAATTCCTTCGTATGTCATTTGGTCTCCGAAATGCCTCAGAATTTCCAACGTTTCATTGACCGTGTTTTACGTGGCCTTCCATTTTTTATGCGTATACTGATGATAGACTCAAACGGCATTCGGCCTCTTTCCTCAAAGGTTGCCGCCATTCGGGACTTTCCGCTCCCTACATCGAGGCGTCAGTTGCAACGGTTCCTTGGTATGGTGAACTTTTATCGCCGGTTTCTCCCGAACTGTTCCGATACCATCCTACCTCTAACCAGTCTCCTCTCAGGTTCTAAGCGCACTTTTGAACTTAAACCAGCAGCACTCACGTCATTTGAGCAGGTAAAAGCCCTTTTGGCTGATGCCACCCTCCTGACTCACTTTCATGCTGATGCACCCATATCTCCGATGGTCGATGCCTCCAATGGTGCTGTTGGCGCGGTTCTTCAACAAAGTCTGCCAGATTCTACCGTGCCTTTGGCTTTCTTCTTCTTCTTCTTCTTCTTCTTCTTCTTCTTCTTCTTCAGGAAACTATCCAAGGCCGAAAGCCGCTACAGCACATTCGGACGTGAACTTCTCGCTGCTTATCTTGCGGTAAGGCACTTCCGGCATTTACTCGAAGGTCGAGAGTTCACAATTTTCGCAGATCATAAGCCACTCACATTTGCAATGCATTCCTACTCTTATAAGCTAAGCCCCCGAGAGATCCACCACCTGGACTACATTTTGCAGTTCACTTCAGACGTCCGCCATATTGACGAGTCACGGAATGAGGCGGCTGACGCACTGTCCAGGCCCTCTATTGCTCATCTTCAGCTTTCACTCGGGATAGACCTCGCTGAGATGGCCGCTGAACAACGCCGTGTCGGTCCACCCTGTGATGAGGATGTTTCCGGACTCCAACTTCAGGAACTACCACTGACAACTGGCAACGGCATTATTTTATGCGACGTATCCACCCCATCCCATCGTCCATTTGTGCCACCATCCCTCCTCCGTAAAATTTTCTCCTCCCTGCACAATCTCTCTCACCCTGGGAGTCGAGCAACCGACAAGCTGGTTTCCGACAGCTTCGGCTGGCCTGGGATGCACAAGGACCTCAAGGCATGGACACGGGCTTGTATCAGCGGAGTAAGATCCAGCGGCACAACAAGGCCCCCATTGGCACCTTCCCCGGCCCTGGTTCAAGGTTCGGCCACGTTCACCTGGACATTATAGGCCCCCGCCTCTGTCCAATGGTTGTTCCTATCTCCTAACCTGTGTGGATCGATTCACTTGGTGGCCTGAAGCAACTCCCCTGTCTGACATTGCTGTCCCAACGATGATCAAGGCTTTCCTCAGTCGTTGGGTTGCTATCTTTGGTGCACCCTCCGAAATCACGACTGACCGTGGTGCCCAGTTTGAGTCTAACCTCTTCCAGTCTGTATTCTCCTTTTTAGGCTGTACCCGCATACGGACGACAGCCTATCACCTGGCTGCTGACGGGATGGTCGAGCGGTTTCACCGCCAGCTGAAGGCCTCCCTACGCGCCGCGGCCGATCCGGAGAACTGGACGGACCACCTTCCCCTGGTCCTCTTGGGCATCCGCTCCACCCTCAAGTCGGACCTTGACTGTTCCGCAGCTGAAATGGTGTTCGGCGCCACTGTCCGACTCCCCGGTGAGATGATCTCGCCAATCGCGCGAGATGCAGTTGAGGATCCCACCAACCTCCTGCATCGCCTCCGACAGTTTATGCGGACACTTTCTCCGGTTCCTCCCAGGTCCTCCGCCTCTTCGTCTTATCTCGAGAAGGACTTGGCAACGTGCTTTCACGTATACCTGCGATGTGGTCGAGTCCGCCGGCCTCTGGAACCACCCTATGACGGCTCATTCCGGGTGCTCTCTCTCGCGAGACGAAGACTTTCCGCATTCAACGCGACAATCGCGAAGAGGTCGTGAATGTAGACCGCCTCAAGGCTGCCGTCCCGGACACTCCTCCGGATGAGCCCTGTGGTCCTCTACCTTCTGTTTCCCCACCTGCAGCTTCTATTCCACCGTCCCCTATTTTCCCTCTACCTCCCTGTCCGCTACCTCCGACTGCCACCACCAACTCCAACACATCTGCCACCAGATGTATTCACTCTTCTACGGACCCTGTATAAATCACTCACAGTGGTCGTCATGTACACTTTCCAGATCGGTTGGTCACTCATTTCTTTTAGACTTGTACATATCCTTCGGCGTCGTTTTCGCCGCCCTCCGGTCTCGGAGGGGGGTACTGTGCCGAGGCGCCAGACTATCTTGCCTTTCCCTACCTGTTCCTCATTCTTGAACTTACTGGTTGTTTAACTGAATGGAAGGAACAGAACTCGACGCGACGCGCTTGGAATGTGTTGGATTGTCAGATCGTTTGACTTTTGATTACTAATTCTTTCATAACTGTGGTCTTATCCTGATATCCATAGTCTGGGATTGACGGTTCTGTCCTTAGCGCACGCGACAAGTCCTCCAGCATTATAAACTAGTTTATGCTCAGGCCACTCTCCTGCGCCCGCAACGTAGTAGGCCACCTGGTGCACATTGTCGTTCGCGACGGTCGAAATGTCGTGCCATGCTTTATAAAGAACGTTAACAAAATAATGGCAATAATGCTACTTAAAGGGACATTTTTTGGTGGTAAAAAATCTGAAAATTACAATACTCTTTTCGATTAGCAGCTCTGAAGAAGATAGGGATTTGCTACCATGTCAGTCCGACAAAGGATATTTTTGTTTATTTTTTCCATAAAATGTGTTTGAAACTATAAGAGTGTCAAAAATCAATGGGATAAATTTATACTACTTAGGCAGTCATTTTTTGTAGAGTGCCGTTTTTGCAGGGGACTGGAGTGGAACGCATTGAAAAGACGGCTTTCGGTGTGACTGACATATCTGAGGATTATGCTTCACGGTAAAAACTATTGCAGCCCAACTTAAGTAATCCTTTCTAATCGGAAACACATTTGAGGATTTCCATTAGCATTTTATGGTATACACCACCCTTTATAGCTGGAATTCGGAAAGCCGAAAAACAAACCTATAGAAAGGTAGTTGAAACCCGTTAGTTTCTCACCAATAAACGCTCCAAGTGGGCCAAATTATTCGTTCAGAAGTAGATAGGAACTAGTAACTCTAGAATAGAATAACTGTAGCATTCTGAGGTGTCGCAAAAACACTCCTACTGACATTGCAGGAGAGCGAAACAATGCTTCATAACGAACATAGAGAAATTCTGAAAAGTGTTACGGCTTTAAGTAACCAGAGCTCACAAAGTTCCTAAAAGACTAAAGGTGGTTGCTGCATAAAACACGTCTTCATGATTTCCTCAAAAAGCAATTAATCGATCATACTTTACGAAAACAAATCTAACCTACGGATATGGCTACCACTTCGGTGCTAAGAGTAATATCTTACGACTATTGCTTGCCTAATTTGTCTAAGAGATCAGAAAACAAAATCGTACCTACGAGTACACGTCATTCCTTTAGGTTCCGGTCCAAATAGTTGGTGCCACCCCCTGTGGCAGAATCTCTTGAAACTTGGGATGGTTCGTTTTTACTTTGATGTTATACTTACAGTATTTTTCGCCCTTCTCAGGTGGTATAATGATTGTGTCGAGGCGTCGTGGATGCCATTCTTTCTACTGTTATTGAACATGGGTCATTTGGCTGCTTTCTGTCAGTTGTCATTTGACCAAGTTGATTTATTTGAAACGTAAACTGCACCATCCGTATGTCGTGAACAAGGCACGTTCGAGCGTTTTTCGGCGCACTCCAGTCACCGTTTAGGGATAAGTTGATCACTAAAATCGTTCCACTCAAAAACCCTGCTTGCCCCATCGCTTGAATTGCACGATCATAGGCCAATTCACACTTGAATGATATACATGTGCTACTTATTTTCCGCTAGTAGATATGACTTTCACGATTAACCGCTCAAACGTCTAATGACCCAAGCTAATAGCGGAGCGCAGTAATGGCAATTCCTTGGGTGCGCCAGAGTCTGGACTCAGTCATCGCCGGCCAAAGAAGGTTAACCAGCCATAAATTGGTGTTTCAATGCCATGTCCTTGTTGGTAACAGTTCTGATGACTGCTGGCCGCCATGCAACCGTCTTCGTGACCCGCAGTTATTCAAACCCAAGGCTCAGCTAGGTCCCCGTATCCCGTCTCGCAACCACAATAGATGAGGGGGGAGGGGGTCGGACGACAGAGCATGAGCTCATAGTGCAGTGGTGGGAGCCCTGTCTAATGATCAGCCGACTCGGGCGCAGAACGCGGGTGTGCCAAGAGCTGTGATTGGGTTATCGGAAAATAAGTCCGAAACAACCACCTCACTGTCTGTCTGTGATATCTCTCGAAATTACTTCTACAAAACGAGATTTGTTTCGTCGGACGCACTTACCGAGCGTCTATCATATCTACGACCGCAAGAAACCCCACCAAAACGCCATATTCTGGTACCGTGGGGCAGGCGAGGGGCTTCAACTCAGGAGAGGTGCACGCTCGTCACGTCATGCGTTCTCTTAAAATAAGTGTTAATAGTAGTCGTATTGTTCTCATTTAGCGATAATCCAGTCGATACGGCGTGTTAACCTAATGCGCTTAGCGGAGAACTTCAGTCAATTCCGTGGGAATCCTCTTGAAACCTTGAACTTTTAAGGTATCTTATTTTCGCTAAAGTGGCTGCGTTCCTCCTTTTCACCGTCTTACATTTCAATCCCGTTTTGGACCTATCGAAGGATATGCCTCATATATGTGCGACGTTTGTGCGTATATTTAGAGCTAGGTGTTCTGAAGGCGGTATGTTTTTCTGGACCCTACTTCGACTCTGTTAATTATTCAACCAGCACGTTCTCCTAATATTTTGAGGTTCACACCCACGTACGTGTGGTGTAATATACGTAGCGATTGCCCTTAAAATGAACAGGGCGGCAGATGCGCTGGACCAACACCTGGGATGGATTGGGATCCGGTAGGTGCTTTTGGGATTGTGCACCTATAACGAATGTCAACAGTGGGGGGGGGGTGTGACGGCACGCCCAGGTGCACGCCCACGTCGCGCCAATTTGGCTCCAAGCCGCCCTTCCCTCCTCTTGTTGTGTAGAATCTTGGCTAACGTACGTCGTGGATCAGAGAGTATGGTGGTACGTCTAAATGCGGGCTGTGCCAGTCGTCTGCACTCTTCCCCCGCCACCTCTTTTATTGAATTGGCAATGGGGAAGATGGGGGGAGGAAAAGAGCGAAGCTGGCGCTGCGCAAGTCTACGAGTCGTCCTCTCTGCCCTTACCCTGCTGGGTAGCACACAGTGGGCAGCGTCGGGAATGAGGACCGAACTGAACTGCTGCACTCTTCACGCCTTCCGCTAGTGGTGGATACCGGTGAACTCAGGAATATTAGCGGCCTCGTAAGTCAAATGCGCGTGCATAGGAGTTGTCCCGTAGATGGCTGCAAAAGACCTGTTTATAAGGGCCCGTCAGGGCATTTATATGAAAAGCAATACACCCAGAGTAGACAAAAAACCAGTGCCAAAGTGAGGTGAGAGAAAACAAAATACGCTGAACAGCAAAATAGGGAAATCTGGGGGTTGTGTCGTGGAGAAAGAAGAAGACAAAAGCAGAAAAGCAGCAGGTCAAAAACTGCACGCGATGCATGGTCGAGGTAAGTGGAGGGAATGGTACCCATCTCAGATATTCATAAAGTTCGCCTTGTCCACGGACATAAGACACACCGACAGGGTGCCCTTCATTCTTGCACCCGCCTCCTTCCCGCTGGGTTTGCAGAACAGGTCAACCTCCAGACTGCCAGTAGTTTCAGTGCCAGTAGGCTCAAAGATGTGTTGTCCAAGGAAGCCGGCGGCGCCAACTGCTCTCTTGTCGAGAATCTTTTTTAAAAAAAACAAAATATGAGTGACATGAAGATAGGTCGAACGAACAAACCGGCATTTCTAAAGTGCACACTCCTCGCCCTACAAAGGGGTACCTACATAGTCACGAGAACCAGGAGCGATAGAGCGCAGCGGCCCACAAAGCTAGACAGTCCATCTACGCGTGCCACACACACCAGACTTTCGCAAAAACAAGAAGGTGCCGCGGGTCCATAAAGGAATACCATGGAGAAAACAATAAGGAGCAACGGAGTCGGACTTTCTATCCTGAGAGAACAGAGTTGCCCAGTCAGTTGGAAAGCCACGAGTTAGAGCGCACCGTGATAGTTTGAAAGCGAATCAGAGTGTTTATAGTAAAGGATGCGTTGAAGTGCCATGGGGGCGGAGTTCCCAGAGTCGACTTCACGCTCTCCCTCTGTCCGAGCCGACCAGGCATCTGATGCTGGGATTGGGCGCAAGGAACTGTCTCAGTGTGAAGCCCGTGGCTAGCCATGCTACTACATCCAGAATGTGTGACATTTGCTACTGAGTGGGAGGACTCTGTGCAGCCTTCTTAATGCATGCCGTGCTCTAGTCTGGAATCCGTGTTGGAACCAGCGTCTAGGCGTGCCACCACATATCCCGGTCCACGCACAAAGGACCAAAATTTCACACAGCAATGAAGGGGGATTGGTCGGATCCCAACTGAGTAGGAGTACCATAAAGGTAGCATTAAGGTGCAATTGCAGCCTGACACTCAGTTCTGAGCGGAGGAACGAGTTATCCCGTTAGTTGGCAACCTTCCAAGCCCCTGCTTTCGGCGCACCGTGATAACTTCAGGCGCGCCAGCTTGTTTATAATGAGGAATATGCACTGAGTGCCGTGTGAACGCAGTCCTCATAGTCCACCCAACGCTCTCCTTCCCATCCAGGCCAGTCAAGTAGACTATATGGTGAAGCTGCCAACATTGCCCTTCATCTATTTGTAATGCTTGCAGATGATTATTTTACATTATTTTTTCCCACGATGGAAGGGTGTTAACCGATTAGCCTACGAGACATTCTGGTCTCGTTGCGCCTTGTGGCTCAATCTCGGGCCCTAGCAGGGGCTGTCCGTCTTATAAAACAAAAACCAGTGGGTGATATGGAAACCTTGGAAACACAAGTTGTCCTGCACAACGCGAATACATTTTCAAACGATATTATGACTTTGAGATAGCAACCACAACGAACCTCCGGGGTCATCCACTTAAACTACGTGTGACTGGCGCCAGACTGGACATGCGAAGGTTCTTTTTTTCAGCAGAATGGTCGAGGCTTGGAATGCGCTGCCAGCAGATATCGGCATGTCCAAATCCGTCGGGGCTTTTAAGCGCAAGCCGGACCAGTATACCACCAAACATCATAATATCATCTGACCGATAACGTCTTAGTGTTCCGTTCTAACCGTTTATTACTGTTTTAATATTACTGCCCGTATTTATTGTTCAAAGTCCATTGTGAATGTTGGCACTCAATTTGTCTCCGACAGAAACTGAGATCGCACCGATATCCTACGGCACAATTATGCATGGGCTGACTGCTGTACAGCATATTTATCAATGTCAATGTTTTTAACACTTGGGACAATTCGTTTATCTGACCGGTTTCGAAAAAATTCTGTAGCTATTTGATGTTTCCATTTTCAAATTTTTGATATAATTCGCTTCCTTGCAACAAACAGGAAGTTCAAAGGTTAAACACCTACGTTTCCCTCAAATAAACTGAACTGAAGATGTACCTCCCGACAACGTAGTTACAATGAATATCGATTTCATTCACCAGTCTTAGGAAATACGAGTAAACTTATATCAGCAGTAAAAGTCGGTTGGAAGTACGAACTACTTCAGAGAGTAATTTTCCCACGCGTAATTTACGTGGACGAATAAAAAAGTTCACAGCAAATGGCCGATTTCCCTGTTAACCAGTATCGTAACCTCCTTTCTGTGCGGATGTATGTCGATGCATTTCTGGCAACGTTGCATGACCTACGGCGCCCATGAAATCTCATTAAACGACCTGGTAATTCAATACTTTCCAAGAGAAACGTCTGGATTTAAATGTATTACACATGACCGGAAAAAATTCCCTTGAGAATGAGCACGCTACCTATACGCAATTCAGAAGGTCCGGAGTGCTAGCTTCAATCTAAAAACATCCTTCGCAGCTCGAAATTCGGCTTCTGCCCGGACAGTGGACTGTCGGGAAACAGACTCAGTCGATGTCCGGAGAAAAACTCCCAAAACAAGTAATCCCCACCCACAGCCAAACTGGAAAGAAAGTTAGAAGCCAGCGCGAACTCACATCGATTATGATTGGTCGCTTGTAGGGCTTCAGGCGGAAGAAGATGAAGGTCTCGTTCCAAACTGGGTTACTGGTGCTTGTGCAGACACTGGTGTAGACAACGTTCCCCTCACAGTCTATGCGACAGTACGGCGAGGGAGGAACATTGGACTTCAGCCAGGTGAGGTTGGATGCTCGTCCAATCTCGATACGCGTCGCCGCTATTGGCGTTCCGGTGAAGACGGCAAATGGACCTGGGGCTGGAGTGTCTAGTAGAAGTTCCCTAAACAAGGGAGGGAAGTTGGAGCTGATGTACAGGCGCTGAAGTGGAAGCTGCCGCAAGTAAGCACAACCCGTACGCCTGAATTCTTCACACCTTATTGCAAATAGTCGCGGCCATTGAAGCCAAACCGAAAAAGTACGCAGCAAATTAAATTACACAAACAAGAATCGAAAATTATCGGACATCAGCCAAACAGAAGTTGCATACGCAGAACACGCTTTAAGTGAAGTCGGTTAACTTAACTGCACGCTTCATTTCACAGTAATCAAAGTGTCCGGAAGGTAAAAACAGGCACATGGGTAACGCCCACAGGAGTGGGGAAAAATCGATGAGAGAACTAATTCGGAAAAAAGATCCTTCTGTGGGCATTCGATCGGTGCAAATGACCCTCCACTTGCTTTGCGTGAGTTACAGTGTTTTTCGTCTGACGCACAGTACAACCTGGGCTACGAGGTAGGACGGATAGCAAAGGCCGCCTGTCATCAATTAGGGCATCGCCTAGAGTCTTAGAGGGCAATATTCGAAAGCTTGAGGGATGGATAGGAAATCTTACTGTCTCATAATTTGGGGAATCGTCCCGCGCAACCATCGTTTAACAGGGTTTCCCGACTTTTGGAGGACTATGACCTGCCACCTCTGATTAAGCAAATGTTGACGAGATGGGTGGATTCCTGTCCAATTTAACGGCCACAAGCGGAAGAGGCTAAAAGCGACATCTCGGCTGCAGACGCTACATTGCGGAATTTTTCCCAGGGATTTCTCAATGTGCCCAAATATTGTCAGGCGTGCAAAACCTGGTTTTAGAAGAGGCATTTGATGTTTGCGTAATATTTAGGATATTTGGTCAGATGTGGTTATGCAGCCCCATCTGAAGTAAACAAACCCCAGTCACCTCTAATACGGGACCGGTGGTAATAGGGGTTTTTACAGGTGCGGCCGGGGAACACACATGCGATGAGGTCTAATTGTATGCAAAAGAAAAGCTATTGGGAATGCGCGATTGTACTTTGAGTGGTTGAGAAATAGCTGCCCTAAACCCTAACTCTAACCCCAACCCCTAACTCCTAACTTCAACCCCAACAGTATTGTGTCCATCAGGTGGGGCTACATAACCACATCTTACCGGATATTTCACCCATCGTAAAAACAATGGTCACGCCAACAGACAGTCCAGTTCTCTTTGCATAGAAGACCCTGGCACCATATGTCCCTGGCCCAACGTCCAGAACATGTGATCATCCGTCTGAGCGTTACTCGCTCCCTCCTCCTGGTGTCTATCTCTGAGCCTAATGAGGCCGTCAGCTACATTTAGCTTACCCTCCCTACTAAGTTGCAATATACATTCTCGGAAAACAATTATCTTAAACACCCATAAATGTTATCGTAATCCCCCTCGCGACCTCCCTCCGGCCTAAACGATAATTATCTACCACCAGTATATTTGCCAAATATTGCATTATACAAGCCTGGTGATGATGTCTCCCGGAAACACATGATATGGTGGAGGCATCTTAGGATTTGTTTCTAGAGTATTATATGGGGGAATGAACATTCAGCACGTAGGCCGGAAGAGAAAGCTGTCGCATACTGAATCGATGCCACAGAGAAGTATTACTGGCATAGTTTAGTGATAACGGAATAACCGTTTCTGGTCTACCTACAGACCCCACCCAACCAACTATAACTCAACTCGAGGTCTTGGAGACTGAAGGTCCGAATGTGGAACCAGTTGGTCAGTATGTTAGACGATCTACCATGTGAAGCAGAGGGGAATAATCGACATCACGTTGGAACGACAGTCACCGATCTGGTCTGCTTGCAGGGCAGAATGCGTACACGCAGCGTTGCTGGTTAGAGCTCCCGAAGGCGATTGGATAGCGACATGAAATCAAATACAGGGCAGTGTCAGGTGCTGTGGCGTCTGGTTGAGGGATTAACAAATTCTGGGCTCGAATCTCCGGGTTCTTCTAGATCAGGATATGGCTGGCTGACGACGACAAGTGGGTGAAAGAAATGATGTTTCGGTCCCCCTTCCCCCCTAGTCTTTGTAGATATTATATCTCAACGACCGATTGCTCATCGAATGATGTTCTTTACTTGTCCCTTTCCTAACCATGCTGGAGGATGCTCTTTTATTCGTTTGGATAAACGCCAGCTCATGCGACCAATATATTCTGCCCCACAGGAGCAGGTGAAGGAGTAAATACGCATAGAGGTGGTCTGAGCTGGTAGTTTGTCCTTGCCCTCTCCGTATAGGATGGGACTGGTGGAGAACAGTACATGGGTGTCAGCTGCTGGAAAGGTCTGTGATATAGCTGGAGTTAGGCATCTTCTTAAAAGTTCACTTGGTGCATCCCCTTGAAATGGGACCCTGATGAAGAGTCTTTTCTTTCCTGCCGTCAGTATCGGGGGCTTTAGTGGTCTTTCAGCCATGTTCTTAGCAATAAATCGATCAGGATACCAGTTCTGGAGAAAAAGGCTTTCGATGATCTTAAGCTTTTTCTCAACGCTATCAGCTGAGTAGATTATTCTCACTCTTTCTGTCAAACGGCGAACTGAAATTGTGGTGTTTCACTCTCCCCCTCCCCTCCCCAAAACCGAGTTACAGCTTAATTATCTACTTGCCCGTATCTTTTAATTCATTACTTCAATAGCCATATAAATGTACAGGCCTGAAGAGAATTTATGGAAAGCGGACGTATGCTCGCCGGATATGCATTTGGTATATTTCCCCAAGTCTTCGGATATTTTCTGAGACTTGAAAGAGTTGCCATGAGGACCTAATCGACGGGAAAGTTTCTATCGTCAAGCCTGTCACAGCCGACAACAGACAATGTGCCAGCACCACCTTCCTCCGATTCACCTTGATTGGAGAGCAAGGATAAGGGAGCCCGGTGAATTCCACTCGGGACACACATTTATGGCTTCTCTGTTTGCTAGCAGACATCAAATCACCTCTGACCTGGGCGAATGAGACTGTTTCGCACTGCATTCGAATGCCACACTTTCTTGCCAGTCATACCGCTTGCAATGGCCAATATTTGGAGTGCGGTCAAAAGAAACACCATATTGCTTTAAAAGTTCCCCCTATAATCAGACGGTCATCCACTGCGTGCCGCACGAAACAAGGGCAGTACCGGTGCGGCGGATTTCGCCCCGATGGCAAAGCAACCAGAGGTTGACGCGGCCGAGGTCCCTGACAAACTTAAACGTGCCACACACAGCCTGATCCCCATCTGCGCTGCTAAAGCAGACAACACGGTAGATGCGTTGGGCCAACATGGGGACCACACCGGATTCTGGCAGGCGTTATCGGGAATGCACAGCCATAACAAACGCCAACATTCGGGGTGAGGTGGGAGGCCAAGTTACCAGCTCACGTCGAACACACTGGGTTCCCTGCCGTCCATCGTTGCTGCTGCTGTTGTTATTGTTGTTGGTTAAAAGCCTGGTCGAGAGAACATGGTGGAACGCCTAGGTGCGGGTTTTCACCGCGCCAGCCACATGCACCCTTTACCGCCTCCACTCACCCCGATTCCGTGTTGACACCAGGTCCAGGTGGGTGACGGAGGAGAAAGCTCGATAGATGCTGCGCAAGTCTATCATCAATATAAAAGCAATCACACGCAGGTCACTGTGTATGATCTCATCTTGCTGTAGAGCACGCGGTGAACATCGACGATCATGACGGTCGAACTGTCGGTCTCCACTACATGTACCGGTACTTGTCCTTTGTACTTGATACGGCCGCGATCATGCCTGGTCTGGCCGGACTCGATGTCCCGAACTGTACCTCTCCACGCGTGACGATTCACGGCTGCAGATCTCGACAGCTCAACCCACTTCCTTCGCCAACGACGTAGACCGAATACCGAAGGTCCAAGAACCACCTCCATATCTTGACGAACTGTGTCAAGCCAGGTTTTGAACTGGCCCCCTCTTCGACGCCTCCAATGGGCGACGGTGCCGGATCGAGGGCAGTAACACTGAGCTCCTGTGGTGGACGGCGAAGAACATGCCCGAACCACTTCAGTCGTCTTTCTTGGATGGCCTGAGTTATCCTTGCGATGTTGTCGCAGCGAGCGCGGACTCTCATTTAAGACGTAGTCGATGAACTTCACTAGAAGGATGGCCATCAAGCAGTGATGGTCAAATACCTCCAGTTTTCGCTCGTCCTCCACGCGCAAAGCACAGCATTCATAACCGTAGCGAAGGACAGACCGGACAGATGCACGGCACACGCGAAAATTAGTGGCGATGAAGAGGTCACGTCGGATCCATAGGCATTTTCTGGACCCCGGTATCCAAAGTCTGACCGCACGCAGCTTTTATCAGTACAACGTGGATGTCTGCTGTCTGTCTGAAGTTCGACTCCCTGACGCAGGCTCCCGTGAAATAAAGATCTCGGGAGTCGAATCGCACACGTACCGGGCTTCTACAGGGACGACTCGGATCTCTCATAAGTGAGAGTACTATAAGGGCCACATTAAGAAGGAGCAACTGCAGCCTGACTAACTGAAATAGTGCATTGTGGAACAGGTCAGCCCTTTAGTTGACCTTTCAAGTCACGACTCTTAATGCGTCAGACTAAACACAGTTAGGGGGGATGCGCCAACTTGCCGGGGAGATGAATTCCCCAGTATGCGTCTCATTCTCTTGCATCCTTCTTCAACGCATCAGTCGGCTGTCCGAGTCCGACAACTCAGGGGGATGATGGGATTGAACGAATGATAAATCTGGTATAATAAGAGTCAATCTGTAAGGTTGCTTCTATACTGATAAGGCATCCTTAAACGGCAGTCAAAGCAGACAGGGATACACCTTGCATAATACCTGGCATCGACGGATCTTGGTAGGTATATACGCAGAGTATAGGCCGCCTCCTGGAGGGGTTCTTCAAGAAACGGTATTAACACGTAACGTCCGCGTGCCAGCGTGAAACGGCCGAACATGGCTCGATGCACCTTTGCCTCGTGCACGTAAATGAGCTTGCAGTTGGACATGACGTGGACGCGGACCTGACGATTGTTTTCGACCTAAGGATGGACAGAAAATGGTCTGAGTCTCAGCTCACTCTTGAAATGAGTAAGCTTTGAGAGGGCTGAGCATGCGAATGTGGGACGTCTCAACTCCAACGACGTCGAAGTTAAAGTAAAAGCCCAAAGAAAATTAACAGAAAAGGATAAGAGCACTGGGTTAACTTTGCTAGCTGGCTTGCGATTTGAACAGCTGGTCGGCCGTCCATAGTCCGCACTGTATAAGACAGTTCAGCAAAAAGTGATTGACTTCTCGAGTCGTTCAGTCAGATCGTGAGCGTTTTTCTCTATTTGCGCCACCTGATATGCTACCGTTACCTGATGTCGTTGGAGAGAAAGAAATTCCGTGTGATTTAGCAGACGGCCGGAGAGACGTTCATTCGAAAACCGGCATCTTGGCGTGACCGAAATATCGCGGAATTGTGCTACATGATAATCAGTACTCCAACCCCCGCCTAAGTAACCTTATCTAAGAGATGCCATATTTCAGAATTTCAGTAAATTTCTCGTGACATACGTCACCTTTGGTAGGATCTTCAATCCCAACAGGCTGAAAAATACGAGGGCTAGATCGCAGTTGGTAGCCAGGACCCGTATTACAGGTGGCTGGGGGGTTTGTTTACTGGGGCTATTTTGTGGGGCTCCATAATCACATCTGTCCCATTTGGCTTCCGTTTTACGTTTGAGCTTAAGATAAGGGTACCGGTTAATGGTTTCCGATTTTCGGGTTAGGGTTATGCCTTTGGGCTTAGGTTTCCGGGTTACGGTTAGGGTTTGAGCGTACGAATGGGTTTCAGTATTACGGTTAGGCTTCTCAGTTACGGCTATGTCTGAGGGCTACGGTTACGTTTACGATTGCGGTTAGGGTTAAGGTTAGTGATGCCGTTAGGGTTAACGGTTAACGTTTAAGGTTAGGGTTGCGGTTAGGATTAGGGTTAAGTTCGCTGTCCGCTCTCATTCCTGGCTACCAACTGCGATCTAGCCAATACTACGAGGTCAGGAGACAGGGACCACTGATGGCGTGGAGGAGAAAAAACAATGTAAACGAATGACCGCTCGCCCTTAGACATCAGAAGTGATAGGGTGAGGTTCCCTCGTGCCCCTTACAATTGGCCACGTTGGATTAACATGGGGGGGGGGGCAGATATGGGTACGGTACGTGCTGTTAGGGATGGGCACCTAATGCGCCTAAGTGCAGGCTCCTGCTGCGTCAGTCGCTTGCACCCGATCCCACCTCAGAACTACTTGACTCTGTCATGACAGCGGGCACAGGTGGGGGTGGAAGGAGAGGGTGCAGTAGATGCAGTGCAAGTCGCCGTCCCTGTGTCCACCCTGCAGCTGTGGGGCACAGCGGGACGTCGTCAGAAACGGCGATCGAACAGTCAATAAGGTGTCGCGGAGGGAAAGGTGATCAATGAGAAAGTGATTACCTTGAGCAGTGCAAAACCAATGGGCGGAGCGGAGGTATCGTGGACAATAGTCTTCGAAACAGTATCCCAGTGGTGTTTGCGGGTGAGCGAGACAAGGACCTCCTCGTCGGTATCCTTCGTCAGCTCAAATGTGTACTAGGGCACAGATAAAAGAAGGCACAAGCGGAGACATCAGCAGGCAAGAAGAAAGTTTCTACAAGAAAGCACACGACAGGGACTATCGCCAGCCGGCCGACAGATAAAGTTCAAATAATTCCGTCATCTGCCTAGTCTAGACAGTGTAACCGTTTCCTCTCTGGACGAAGTAAAGTTGGCCGAAAAAAGGGTTCTTCCCAAAAAGGTTAATGATAAATTTCCGTTTTAACGAACGAGGCCCAACTAAGTGCGATTCTTTACTGGACACGAATAAATTTACTAAATATCCACACTACTGACTGTTACTGAATGCTGTCATCGGTGACAGCAGCGGACAGCCATCTGACCTCTTGTCATCGCTGGAGCGTTCAGATCGCCACCTTGTGCGGTGGATAGTAGAAGGCGATAGATGGTAAAAAAATATAGCAGACATAATTTTTCACTCCAACCCCCGGCAACAAATCCTCTTCCATCCCCTCGATATCCATGCTGGCTTCTGAAAGTATCGTACCTTGTCGCCGAGGAAAGAACTGTAAACGGTCTGCCGATTGTCGAAGTCGCACCAGAACGCCGGGTGGCGAACCCTAACTTTGGTGATAATATCCCGGCCGAAAGTTTCCTTGGTCCGAAAAGGTAGTATTGGGTGATCGTGGTAGGTAAATCAGTCGATTCATTGAACAATAACGCCACAAGAATCAAAGTACGCTCGAACTGCGTCTATGAGGAGTAACGTCTGTGTGATTAACGACTAACAAACAGAAGAGACAGACTGTTTCAAATACCTCAAGAACAAGCAATTGCCAAATGGACAGGGGAGGAATAAGACTTGCACCTTAACAAACGTCACGGACGTGCTCCCTAAGTCGGGTCACGTGGTAGATGTGCTGGACCAACACGGGGGCTAGATCGGCGTCCGGCAGGCGTTATTGGGAATGCACACCAATAACAAATTCCAGTATTGGGGTGTGGTGGCACGTCCAGGTGCAGGCCTAAGTCACGCCAGTTAGGGCCCGAGCCGCCCTCTTGCCTCCTGTTATTGGAAATCTTGGTCAGTATGTGTTGTGGACCAGGGTGAGCGGTGGTACGCCTAGGTGCAGCTTTTCGTTGTGCTTACTTGTACTTGGTACGGCTGCGAGAATGCCTGATCTGGCCGGTCTCGATGACGCCCCGAACTGTACCTCTTCATGCGTGACGATCTGCGGCAGCAGATCTGGACAGTCTAACCCATTCTCTTTGCCAACGACGGAGACCGAATACCGAAGGTCCAAGAACCACCTCCATGTCTTGACGAACTGTGCCGAGCCAGGCTTTGGACTGACCCCCTCTTCGACGCCTCCAATGAGGCAACGGTGCCGGATCGAGAGCATTAACACTGAACTCCTGAGGTGGACGACAAAGAACATGCCCAAACCATCCCAGTCGTCTTTCTTGGATGGCCTGGGTTATCCTCGCGATGTTGTCGCAGCTAGTGCGGAGTAATTCACTCGAAGGATGGTCGTCAACCAGTGGTTATCAAATAATTACAGTTTTCGCTCGTCCTCCCCGCGCACAGCCCAGCATTCACAACCATAAATAAGGACAGACCGGACAGATGCACGGTACGCGCGAATCATTGTTGCAATGGAGAGGTTGCGTCGGATCCAGAGGCGTTTTCCAAGGCTTGAGAAAACCCGTCGGGCAGCATCAATTCGGGGGACAATGTCATCCCTGTTCTGGCCATTCGGCAGTAGCCACGCCCCGAGGTATTTAAAACTGCCTACTTCTTCAAGTTGACAGCCATCCATCCCGAGAGGTGCCTTCTCCTGGTCAGGGATGCAGCTTGACAACACTTTAGTCTTCCCAGCGTTTATGGATAAACCGACTAATTTAACGACTTCGTTTTCGCCATGCCAGTCACATGCGCCTTTACCGCCTCCGGTATTCTCGATTCTCACTTGACAGCAGGCTCAGGCGGGTGAGGGGGGGGAGTGAGTGCGGTAAACGTAGAGTAAGTCGACTATTACTATAAACTGTGGCACGCGCAAGTCACCGTCTCTGCTCCCACCCCGCTGTGCAGCACATAGCGGCAATGACTGTCAAACTATCATAACAAAGTGGGCGTAGGATTAAGGGGAGGTAGATTCGACCAGAGCCCGCTTCATTACAAACGAATTAGCAAGCCGGTGACGTCAGCGCCCATTTCAGAACTGCGGTGGATGCCGCCGCTTGTGGCGATCAGTCTGTCAAATGTGCGTGTGATGGTGGTGCGGAAAGTGCGATAATCTCCGAAAGCTTTCAAGGACGCATGAAAAGAACCACTGGTACCTGCGGATCTAGTGATGACTCGTGCCCAACGAACCCCAATCTCTTTTAAGTACACAATGTTCCCAGTGGCAAGATTAACTTAGGACGGCCGTAAGTGGGCTCGGACACACTGGCTGACCCGACTAGTCTATCGACCGATATGAACCAGACTCAGAGCTGCCATAAAAACCATGCTAGGAATGATTCTTTGCAAACTGAATCTCACTGTCAAGAACAGGATTACGCGACCAATTGGAAAACTTCCAAGACACCACTTCTAGCGAGCTAAATGAATGAGATCGCGGATAACGGAGTCACCCTGCTCGTGAGCGCAGTGGGTTATTCGTCCTGCTACTGGCGTGCCAAACAAGTATTTGGCACCCGTTAGGCCTGGCACAGCAGCGTCGCCCGCGCAACAAAATTGACTAAATGCGTGCACACACACACATAGGGGTCAACTAACCTGAGGATTGTGTAAAAATGTGTCACGAAACCGGAGGCTGCCGCCACTGCGAACAGAATGCCACTCCCCGTGGAAGTCGGAGAGTTGCCATGCATTGAAGATGCCCGTCTTTGGCGATCGACAAATTAGGGCGCCTGAGAAGTTCTGGAGTACCGGCAGTAGCGGCATCCAAAACTCACTTTCGGCAGACATGACTAGTCCGATGCGGTTACGGTCATTGGGGGTCAAGTCCTGCCATTCCTAATGTGCATATGAAGGGGGAGAAGGGCTGTTTGTAAGGACTGCAGGACAGAGAGAGTTATTTTAGTTATCAGTACAATAAAGAGCAAAAATAGGCGCGTACACTCAGAAAACTTGTACAGGCAAAGACGAGGCATCAGAGATACGCAGTGGCACCAGAACCAATGTGGATTCGGTCTACAGCTACTAGTTGGCGTTTACGACGATCGATATGGTATGCATCAAACTTCATGCAAAAGAACCCTAATTTTTAGTGATACCTTGAAATAAAAAGGGTTACATGCGAAAACGCCCGTCTTTCGTTTTTGGCCTTCCCCAGGAAATCGCCTCTCAGTAGATTACAAGTGCTTCATGAGTCTTGTCATATGTTGCAAGTGGGCTTGCAATATTCATCGGAGCAGAGCGCACATACTGTGACCTGCTGCTCCGTGTTTGAAGATAACTTCAAACAGCAGCGCAATTCATACGCGGGAGAAAATCACAGTATATTTAGTAAAATTTACACTGACTTTCGATGGGCACAAAATTGAACAAGAGATCCCAGAAATGATGCACGAAATATGCAGGTGGCACACTTATTTTGCGAAAAGCCAAATGCCGTAGGGAAGTGATTAATTCAGTTTATGAACAGCACCCTTTACGGGGGAGAATCTCGAGAAGCTCGCACAACTGCGGGTGTAGCTTAAAATTCATGAGCCTGGTAATTCTGCCAATAAGGCGCACAACATGGTCGCTACCGACTGAAATACATTCAGAGCAGCAGGAGATATTTTCTTGAAAAGATGGGATGTAGTTAGAAAATCTTAAAAACCAATGAAACTACCAGCGGTGTTTCAGAGTGCACCTGGTCTATAAGAAATTTTAAAAGTTAAATTGTCTACACTTTCAATTTCAAAGTCTAAAACGATGTTACTGCAAAACGACGGACCTGTGGCTCAATGGTAGAGCGTTGGGCTTGAAAACGCTCAATGACCAAGGAATCCGCGTTCGAATACCAAGTACTGCAAATCTGGCGTTGGGTATGGCTGTATGACGAAGGCTAACAGGCAAGAAATGGTCCTTCCAGTCTCCCTTGTATTTGTTAGTTATCCTTCCAAAACAAAAACGACTACCGCGTTATGCACTCCTTCGCTGCCACATCTCGAGGAAGTGGCGTTTTCCTTGGCTCCTTCTCATTGTGGCTCCTCCACTAGATACAAGATCAGAGCTGTTCATCTCCTTTGTGTGAAATCTTGGTGCACCCGTATGGCGGCCGGGGCCTGTACCTGGCATGCGTGTACGGGCTGTTCTTAGCTATGCCAGCCACCTCGAATAATCTCAGCACTGGTTGCCTGACCAACTCGGACAATCGACTGGTGCACAGTATAGGACAGAGCCAATGTAGTCGACTCCCAGCGCATAATTCTATAAACGATTTGATGCCCTTGAGACTGACACAAAGCGCTAAGAGCCGTGGCTTGAACGGCTACCAATTGACGGGATAACTTGGAGCCCGCAGTCGACCCGGTGTGTGCAGTGACCAACAAGTGGATCTTGACTCTCAGTTATGACACCAGGTACCGGTGGGAGGAGAGAGTGCGCTAGACGCTGCACAAGTCTACCATCATTATGAACTAAGTCATGCGCAAGTCACCGTCTCTGCTCTCAGCCTGCTGTGGAGCACATGGTGGACATTGTAAGAAACGACAATCGAACAGTCAGGTCTTTAGTTTCCCAAGAAATTAGTCGCTAACTTGGAGTAAATCAGTCTACTTGGGAGTTTCAGACCCAGACTGAAATTTGATGTGAATATTCGGGCCGAAGTCCACCAGCCACAGCGCAATAACGACGTAGTATTCATAAACTATTAGCAGGCAGCCAGTGGCATACAAATAGGTTAGCGATTAATTTCTGAGGAAATTAAAAAGCTGGACTGCACTTGGTGCCAGGTTGGTAGGTCTCCTGATTTTGATCGGTGCGAATGTCGGCACCGATCAGTCGGTGGCAGTTGGAACAAGTAAAGCCAGAACGAGAGAGATAGATGGGGTTCAAATAACACAGCCCACCTTGGAGACGTCAGAGTAGGCGCCCTTCCACTCGCCGTAACTGAGGCTACTGGTGGAGGCAGCGAACAGTGAGCGGAGACGTAGGAGTCGGTCTCGTGGCGGACAGTCCTGGGCACGCTTAAAGGCTGCAACGATGGAGCCCATGATACTGGGGTCCCTGGGCATCAGGCAGGTCTTGGTGAGGAGGTAACCGAAGTTGGAGCAGAGACCGGTCTCGGGATCGATCGAGCCCAGGCTGCGAGGAGCACAGAGCTCGTCAAAGAGCAGATCAGCCTGATCACCGGAGGGAGCGGCGGCGGAGCGGCCCCCATCCCCACTACCGTCCTGTGCCTTGCCGAGGTGGGGCTGGAGGGTGCAGAACAGGCTTGTGAGTGGAAGAAAGTCAAGAGGTGCTATTGTCAGTTGCTATTGGAATACACCTGTGCCTGCAAAGGAGCTATGCTGCCAATTCCGGAAGAATCGAACCTCAAGAAAGTGGTCAAGGAAAACAGACGGGAGCAACTGCCTCTGTCTGAGATCTGAGCGCCTGCATCGGGGCCGAGGGAAGCGAACATTTTCTCAAAAGGTCGGAAAAAAATGTCAAGAAGTGCCTATTTTTAACATATAACCTCGGTGACCTCAAATTCATGCTTACATAGTTGCTACTTACATTTATTGGGTGGATGGCCGCATTTGCTTATTAACAACGGAAATGATACACTGAACAGTGTGTTCCCCACACTCGTTTCTTTTGACTAAAATAGTGCAGCCGACGTCTGGCCATCTGCCCTGAGAATGTTACATTTGATACCTTACTTATCTTCTTGGTGGCAGCGTACGTTGCTTTTGTAAGGTAGCATAATGGGGATTTACTTCTACTGATATGGTACAAGATCTAATCATAATGACGGGGTAGGCGGGACATGTAGACGATTCAGGACTCAGTGGGAAATGCACAACGTAGGATAACAATATTGAGCTGGCACCGTTCTCGTCTGCATCCTGGACAGCACTCAACAAGGACGCTGGTGGTGTTGGGGGATTGGTTCAAGGAGGGGAGGTGATTATATTTCAGTCAAACCCAGATCCCTATTGTTGAGTCGGGTCAGTGCTACAAAGCAGACATGAACTGACTAGCAAAGAAGAAGAGTAATCAAACACAAGTCCATCGTTAGATACAAAAACAGCAACAAAGCAGACGACAGTTATAGGGAGTAGTTGCCAATCAACGATCAGTGGTGCGGATTTGAAGATGGCTGCACAGGACTCCGAAAGCCGGCGCGAGATCGAGATATCGACTGCTGGAGTTCTGATCAGAGGCTCGGGGTTCAATCAATTCTCAGCGTGAGCGTGGGCGATTATCTTGGCGGCTACGAAGCTAAACTCGTGACCTGTTTCGAAGGTGTGGACAGCCACTAACGATAGCACGTCATCCTGTCGCACAACCAGCTTACAGTCGAGTATCCGCGATCTGATATTTCGGACACAGAGGATGGGGTGAAGTAGCTATCCTGCAAATTGGCAACTAACAAACACAACGCAAACTTTTGCAGTGGGTGCGATAACGAGTCCGTGGCAAACTGCTGGGATTTTAGAGTTGACGTTGGCGATTTGTCTGATAATTAGTCGCAAATTGTCTCAATTCTGGCGTTGGTGTAGACAACGTGCGTGATAATTATCCGGCAATTTTGTCCACCAACAGTGTTACCGGAAGTAGTATTCACCCGTACGCTCACCGCGCGACAAATGTCTATATTCAAAAGAAGCCTTCGGACTAGATGGGAGCGTCATTGCGTTTGTTGATACGCTGCGGACCAGAGGACAATGGATCAAGCAACTGGCGACTCAAGCGGTTGTCACCTCTCTCTAGGATGTTAGCTCCAACGAACTAGAAGGCCTGACCAAGCTCCGTCGAATGAGTCGCGACTCAGGGGCTGGCGTTATTCCACCCGAATGATGCCGCATGTCCGATCATCCGCGTCCATAGCGACCTCTTAGCTTCTCCAAAAATGCACCAGATCCGGCAAACAACTCCAAACACTTCGGCCGCAGCAGCGAGTCTTTCAGCCTCATTACTCGGCGATAAACAGGCTTTTTCTGGTCTGTGCTCAAAAAGGCATGCCAGAGCGGTTGACGTTCATGATAAACAAGAGCACGCGCCAAAATTTGGAGCTGGTGTGGTTTAGTTCCGCGTCGAAGTTATGCAGATGGTCATTCACTAAGAGCCCCCCACCGAAGGTATTTCAATTCAGCAACCTTGCCTTCCGATACCGAGGCGTCGAGGGGGAGCCTCTAAAAACAGTTGGCAGAGCTGGACTATGACTTTTCTGCCTTGAAACAGGCATTTTTCACCACAGACCCCAACTTGTGTTTCTGCCAAAACCATGAATGGGGGAAAGACAACTAAGATTGTAACAGGCTGCGGGGTAAAGGATGGAAATATAATAATAGTGAGGTGAGCTATGGAAGGTGGGGGACAGCTGGTTCGTCGGACATACAGTGAATGACCGATCTTATGAAACGTTGGCTGAAATTCTGAACTGCATTTTCGATTAGGAAGGATTACTTGGTCGCGGCTGTAATACTGATTATCTTGCGGCATACTTTTATAACATTTCGGACTCAGCAGGATGTCGGCTTTTAAATGCACTTCTATTCAATCTCCTGTAGAAAGTGTGCTCGGTAAAAAGTGACTACTTAAGCAGCATGCATTTTTCCCATTGATTTTCGATGGTCTTGGAAATTCAAATATATTTTATAGAAACCATGAACAAAAGTATGCTTTCTTTTGGTCAATCAATAGAGGATCACGTCTTCTTTATATTATATACTTAAGAAAAGAGTCTAATTAGGTTTTAAAAAAGTTTTCTAATTGCCGAATAATTTGGAGCCTGATCATTCGTTGCATTAGCGCTTAGTGATTTCAGTCTACAAGGTGCATGCGTTCCGCGTAAAAAAATCACATATTTTTCTATGCCATTAAAGAGATATCATACAGAGTCCGCACAATTTTACAATGGATGCGGAACATGTTGTACCTTTCATGAGGAGCAGTGGTAAACGGCCAGGTACGATGCTGTGTGAATGGACATTTCGCGGTCTAAAAAAGTTTCATAATTAGAAACTTTTTAAAACCTAATTATACTCCTTCCTGAAGTATAAAATATAAAGAAGACGTGATTCTCTATTGATTGACTAAAAGAAAGCATACTTTTGTTTATGGTTTTTATAAAATATATTTGAATTTCCAAGACCATCGAAAATCAATGGGAAAAATGCATGCTACTTAAGTAGTCACTTTTTACCGAGCACACTTTCTACAGGAGATTGAATGGAAGTGCATTTAAAAGCCGACATCCTGCTGAGTCCGAAATGTTATAAAAGTATGCCGCAAGATAATCAGTATTACAACCGCGACCAAGTAATCCTTCCTAATCGAAAATGCATTTCAGAATTTCAGCCAACATTTCATGAGATCGGTCACTCACTGTACAGTAGGTGGACTAACTCAAGAAACGTCAACCAAAATTCCGAAATGCGTTTTCGTTTCGAAAAGATCAAGTAAATAGGGTTGTAAAACAAATCATCGTGCAGCATAATTCTATAATACTTCAGTTACCTCTGGATGCCGGCTTTCGAACGAACTCCTTTCCGGCTGCATGCAGAAGTCATACTCGGCAAAAGATGACAGCGTACACAGCATGCATTTTTCTCATTGATTTTCGATGCCCTTGAAAATTAAATCATACTTCATGGAAAACATGCATAAAAATCTTCATTCTTTTGCCCATTCGGCAGAAAATTATGTCTCCTTCCAATTTCATACTCGAAGGAAGGGTATAATTTGGTTTTCAAAAACCCTTCCAAATTCCGAATAATTTTGAACCCGACCTGCCGTAACACTTGCATTCACGGTTTTCGAACCACAAACTTTATATTTTCCGCGCACAGAAAACCATACATTTCTATACGGTACTAACTGGAGATCATATAGGGTTCATAAAATGTAGCATTGGATTGATCCGTATTATTAACTGTACAAGCCACATTGATAAATGCAGAGACATGACGTTTTATAAACGGCCACTTCCCGGTACTTAAAAATCTCACAACTATAAATTTTTTTAGAACCGAATTATACCCTTCATTCGAGTATAAAATTGGAAGAAGACGTCATTTTCTACCGAAGGAGCAAGAGAATTAATATTTTTATACATGTTTTCTATGAAATATAATAAATTTTTCATGGGCATCGAAAATCAATGGGAAAAATGCATGCTACTTAAGTATAGATTTTACGTGCATTCGGAAAGTAGTTCTTTCGAAGGCCGGCATCCTGAGGTAACTGAATTATTATAGAATTATGCTGCATGATGATGACTGGTTTTTAAATCCCACTTAATTAATCTTCTCGAAACAAAAACGCATTTCGAGATTCCGATTGACTTTTTCTGTGTTGGCCCACTTAGTGCAAACGCACGCTTTAAGCCCACGCAGGAGCAGAGAGAGGAACATACAGCACAGCAGGTGGCTTTTGTTGTGAAACAGGAGAGCAGAGCTGGATGGCGCGCGCAGCGGAGATGTGTGTTTTTATTGAACATTCCACGCCATTCGGGCCGGTCAGAAGGCCCTGAATCTGGCTGGAGTGTGGAGTATCAGACTGGCAGGGCCAGACTGTTTTATAACAGCCAATTGGAGTTTGAGATGACTGGCAATTAGGAAATCTGGCCTTCTCAGTTCCCTCTCTCTGGTCAACCCGATGAACCACGGTGATCGGAATCCAGATGGTCAGTTGTCGGGACTCATTGATATTTTGGCAGATTTTGAATAATTCATATTGACCCAACTGTGAAAAACTCGGCGCCTCGGTGGGATTCGAACCCACGCAGTAAGGGGGAAGGCTTTAGTACAGCCAACTCGTAGCTCAGGTGGTTAGAGCGTTGGCTGTACTAAAGCCTTCCCCCTTACTGCGTGGGTTCGAATCCCACCGAGGCGCCGAGTTTTTCACATTTGGGTCAATATGAGTCGTCGGGACCTCAGAAGCTGTCCACTCTGCTAATTAGCTCCACGTGTTACGTGGAAAGTTACTTCCCCGCGCAGAGCACATTTCTTAGTTACGTTGATGATACAGTGCATTTTCGAACGGAACTTAGAATTTCTTTATACCCGAGTGATTTTCCATGTTATTAACTAACGCAGACCATACATGTGTGCTTCTCAAGTAAAGGCTACTAATGTCAATGAAGAAGTTACCCAAAACAGCATTTGCCAACAAGAAACCTGATTTTTTAGTTCGTGTAAACCAGGCAAAACAAGGTGTGAATAGGTGCGCCATTTTCTGGAAAACGGAAGGGCTAACTCCTTTAGAACTTGTGATTTGCGGTCAATCCATATGCATATATAAACATTCCAGAACAAATTGCCAAAATTGTTGACTATGCCTCAGCAGATTCAAAATCCGCTTGTAAGGCAAGATGCTCTTCGCGAGGCACCGCGTTAGTTTAGGAAGTATTTTAATATCCACATGGTTATTTCTTAGTGCACTTGTAATCACAAAAATGAGGCTTGCGAACACACAATGACGATGGCCATCCCAGAATAAACAGAAAACTTTTTTGCTCGTGGCAGGAAAATTATCAGCACAGGCCAGAGACGCCCATGAGCGGACCTTGTTTGGGAATAATAAGAAGAGCGTAGTTATTCAGCTGCGAAATGCATCGACAAAGCCCCTTTTACAGAGGTAGCTCAAAAAGATGAGGTTTTACACTTTATCAAGAACATCGTCGCTGTAGGTCTTCAGTTTGGACGTACAATTTTCGCATTGATGAGGTTTCATGTGTAGATGAGTCTCAGACCACTATTTGCGGAAAATGAAACGATCGAAGAATCTTCATACAATAGGAGCTTTCAGGGACAGACTTATACGGAAAGTTTCGATAAGCACAAACAACCTTTTGGGCAGACGACTGACACTGAAGACCCCAAAGTATTCCGGGACCCTATGACTCGAAGGAAACCGCCATTGTCAAAGGGCGCAGTAGTCTTCAGGAAGAATTCTTACGCCATACGCTGAGGACAAAAGGCTAATGGGTTTATGCGGAAAATATATTTCTATTACTTATTCACTGACCGGTCTCTCGACATATGGCCATAGAAGAGTTTTCGTCTCTGAAACCTCTCCCCCAAACATAATCTTTATCCGGATCAGCTACCTACAGAACAATTTAAAAATGAAGCATTTCGACTCTCTACCCTATGTAGCAGTCTGAAAAGAGTCATTAACTGTCAAATAGGTGACGGGCTAAGGTACGAAAGTTCGACCATTGTTGCTGACCATGTCCAGCGTGTGCTCCACAGGAGGGTGAGAGGAGGGACGGCGACTTGCTAGTGAATTAGTTTAGAATAGTAGTGGACTTGCATAGCATCTACCTCACTTTCTTCCCCTCCCCCATTTGGGCCCGGTATAAAGACAGAGTCAAGAGGGATAAAGGCAGGAGAGGGCGCAACGATGACTGCTTCCGCCAACTTCGGAAGATGACGGTAAAATCGGCCAGGGATGACCGGAAGCAACATTGGGCTGAAATAACGACCTCCATGGAAGAGGCCTCGGACGTTGGTGACACTCAAAAACTCTACTAAGTTATCTGCCAAGTTAGCGGTAAGCCCTCTACACTGACTGACTCTGTTCGCGACGTGAACGGCAGCTTTATTGCTGACAACTCGGCGAAAGTCGAACGCTGGCGTGAGCACTTCGAGCACCATCTCAACTTCGATACCCAACCTACCTCGCCCTTGCTCTCCTCTTCAGCAGAGTTTCTTTCCTCTCCCACCCATGCAGTGCTATGCGACCCCCCCCCCCCTCTGAAGGAGAAGTCGTCGATGCCGTACGAAAGTTGCGCAACAATAAGGCATCCGGAGAGGACGGTATACCCGCGGAGGACAATCCTTCGAGTGAAGCCCACCGATTTCGTCTCAAATGAGACAGTGCGCGCTTGCTGAGACAACATCGCAGGGATGACTCAGGCCATCCAAGAAAGACGACTGAAGTGGTTCGGGCATGTTCTTCGTCGTCCACCTCAGGAGCTCAGTGTTACTGCCTTCGATCCGGCACCGTTGCCCCATTTGTGACGTCGAAGAGGGGGTCAATTCAAAGCCTGGCTCGAAACAGTTCGTCAAGACATGGAGGTGGTTCTTGGACCTTCGGTATTCGGTCTCCGTCGTTGGCGAAGGGAATGGGTTCAGATGTCCAGATCAGCTGCCGCGGATAGTCACGCGTGGAGAGGTACAGTTCACGGCATCATCGAGGCCGGCTAGATCAGGCATGCTTGCAGCCGTATCAAGTACAAGTGGTAAGGAGAAGGCGCAGGTGTCTGGCACGACGAAACCCCGTACCTAGGCGTACCACCACACATCCCTGATCCACAACGTACACTGACCAGGATTTTATACACCAATAAAAAGGGTGGACGGTTTGAAGCTCAATTGGCGCGGCGTAAGCCCGCACCTGGGGCTGCCGACACCCAAAATATTGGCATTTGTTGTGGGTGCACATTCCCAATAACGCCTGCCGGAGTCTGGCTTGGTCCCCATAATGTCCAACGCATTTACTGCGTGGCCCATTTTAGGGGGCACAAGGGCTACGGTAATTCATATTACACTAATTCTAGAGGACATTTACCCTAGGATTGTAAGATGAGATATTTTAAACGTGCCTGTGCCTATTCTGTTTTAATTAATCAGCTGTTGACATGGAAATAGATAGTGTGCGTGGCCGACCTCATGAAATGTTGTCTGAAATTCTGAAATGCGTTTTCGATTAGGAAGGATTACTTCGGTACGAATGTAATGCTGTTTATCCTGCGGCATAATCCTATGGTATTTCGGACTCGCCAGGATGTGGGCTTTCAAATGCACTTCTTTTTGACCCCCTGGGGAAATCACACGGTAAACATGACTACTCAAGCAGCATGCATTTTGCAAACTGATCCTCGATGGTCTTATAAATTCAAATATATTTTACAGAAAACATGCAGAAAATAGGCTTTATTGCACTCGTTTGGTAGAAAATCGACTTTTCTTCATATTTTCTACCCGAAGAAGGTGTAAATTTAGGTTTTGAAAAAGTTTCCCAATGCCCGAATAATTTCGAGCCCGATCAGCCGTTGCATTTGCGTTTCACGATTTCAGTCTACAAGGTGTATGCTTTCCGCGTAAGGGGAATCACATATTCCTCTATGCCTTTAAAAAGATGCCATATTGAGTTCATAATATTTTGCAATAGACGCGGACTGTGCTGTACATTTCATAAGGAGCATTGGAAAACGGACATGTGCGATGCTGTATGTATGGACATCAGGCGGCCTTAGAAACCTCATAATTAGAAAACCTTTTAAAATCGAAAGATTATGTTTCTTGGGGTATAAAATGTGAAGAAGACGCGACTTTCTACCAAATGAGTAAAATAAAACATATTTTATGCATGTTTTCTGTAAAATATATTTGAATTTATAAGACCATCGAAAATCCATTTGAAAAATGCATGCTACTTAAGTAATCATTTTTACCGTGTGGTTGCTGCAGATCAAAAGGAAGTGCATTCGAAAGCCCACATCCTGGCGAGTCCGAAATATCATAGGATTATGCTGCATGATGACGAGTATTACAACCCCACCTAAGTAATCCTTCCTAATCGAAAACGTATTTCAGAATTTTAGCCAAAATGTTATGAGATCGGTCACCCACTATACTATAAATTAGGCTTACTCATTTAGCACCAATTTTCGCGTTTTCAGCACTTCAACTTTCCTTCAAAAATGTTATTTCCAACCATATTAGTACTGCTTCTGACAACCTTCTGTCTATGGTTAGGTTTTACTGGGGCGCTTGGATTGATGCATTGGGGTCAGTTTGTAGGGAATTTTCGCGAATGCGGACGTGGTTCATATACGCTGTCACGTAGTGTACTTCGTTAATCCTCTTCCCCTTCCCTGTTATCGGATGCTCCAGCGCAACGGAGAGTAGTCTGGGCCTCACGAGATTTTAGACTAGTCTCTAGCATCTCCTTGTCCGCCCGCATCCTAATAGAGTGAGGTTACAGTGCCCTGGAGCCTACAGTGAAAGTCGCAAACGACGACGTCCACTGTGCGCCCCACGGTCTGAGCGCAGGACGTTGGCATGAGCTTGAATTTGTTTATGGTGGGGCAGACTTGTGCAGCATCTGCCCTACCTCATTCACCAGGCTTCGGTAGCGCGATGTCAGGACGACCGGATATGGGTTTGGGCGCAATGGCTGGCGAAACCAAACAGCCCGTCTACGCGTGACACACACAACCCGGTCTCCCAACGCAATGCACCAAGTTTTCACGGAAGAGGGGGATGGTCTATAATAGGCAGCGAAACGCATGAAACGTCAACTGGCCGAACTGCATGCCGTCAGAAGCGTAAGGCATCGCGTAAGTGGGGCTGCAGTAGTTATAACCGTGGAACATAAACACTAGTTAATATAGGCAGAATGTTATTACCGACAAAAGCAAGGGAGACTGGAATGGCCATTTCTGGCTCATTAGCCATCGTCAGCCAGTCATACCTAACCCCGAAGTGTGGCACACCCGTGGCTCGAACTCGCGCGACCTGTTAGTTAGAAGTCCACGCCTCTAACCACTGCGCCACGAGCCCGTTGCCCTGTCGGTCTCGATCGGGAATATACAATGGTGGGGGGCGCTCACCGATCGTTCTTACGGAACTCACTCTAGTTAATTTCCAACGGTCTGTGCTAAGAACACTACATTAGGAAAGGACAAGTAGTTTGCGTAGTCTTTTTAATCAACTTTGAATGCCCAGACAGATGCAAATCTAATTACCAGGAGAAATACGCAAAACGTTCGCTCCTTGCATCACTTTGCGCAATGTCATGACTAGCGAACTTCTCCGTCAGCACCGATTTTCTGGCTTTAAGGAGGTCTAGCTGTTCATGTGATGTAATAGGAGGTTAGGCTGCATGGTAGTTAGTACTGACACTCAAATCATTCAATGCCTTCGGTTGCAGGGCATAGCTAAAGATGTAAAGTAATACTTCACGAGCTTCCGTATATACTGTATGTACAGTAAGTAACCGATCTCACGATGCGTTAGGCGAAATTTTGGAATGCTTTTTCAATTGGGAGGGATCACCTAAATGGGGTTGTAATGATGATTAGTACAAAAATGCCTCCTTTTACTCATTTGGCAAGATATCATGCAGAGTTCACGAAATTTGCAATGGATCCGGACTATGTTGAATACTTCATGAGGAGTATTAATAAACGGACAGGCACGACGATGTATGAAGACATAGATATGAATAGATAGTACACGGGCTTAAAGAATACCATAATTAGAAACTACTTTAAAAATCGAAAATAAAATGTGAAGACGACGTGGTTTTACACCAAGTGAGTAAAAGGAAGAATACGCTTGTGCATGTCCCTTATAAAATATATTTAACCTTGCAAAGCCATTGAAAATGAATGTGAAAAATGCATACTGCTTAAGTGCCCATCTTTTACCGAGTGCGGTTTCCAAAAGTCGACATCCTGACCAGTCCGAAATATCATAGGATCACGCTGCATGCTAATCAATGCTGCAACCCCGCCTAAATAGGTCTTTCTAATCGAAAACGCAGTTCAGCATTTCAGCTAACTTTTGATGAGATCGGTCACTCATTGTATGGGTAGATCCTCAGCAAGACGATCGATCCTCCAGTACCAATCTTGTGTTCAGAAACATCCACGCCCCGCAAACGCAATCAAATCATTCTCATAGCACTTTAAAGCAGTTAGGATAGAGTATAAAACGATCGGCGACGCTGACTCACGCCTTGGCAACCAGACACACTGGAGTTAACGAGGCTCTTCAAATATTTGACAGATACAACTGCTCACTGCCAGAGAAACGGCTGCGCTATCAACAAGACCGGCTAGGTTCGATCAGAATGGACTGTGTCGCCTACTGTGCAGTCAAAATGCAGTCGTTCATAACACGCATTTGTGACTAGGCTCGGGCCAAGAAAACGTTGACCAGCAGGAAGGACTGAAGTCATGACGGCAGACTTACTGAGCATACACACCCAGCCCTGGCAGTTGCCCCAGAGAACGGATGGGGGTGGATGAGAGTTCTTTTTCTCGCCTGAGTATGGACAATCAGAAAAGTAAAATGTCCTTGGAAGAACAGAGATCCGGTTGGACGAAGCGAACTGGGATTTCAAGCGCTCACAGCACGTGTTCTACACGCAGAAAATCACTTGATGATGGGTTTGTACACTGTTGAAATAATCCCATCAGTCCGCCTAAGATGATATTTTCAGATACATTAATAACAGGTACAACAGAAGCTGGACTGGACATTTCTGCTTTGTCTACCACCCTCAATTAGCCTCGACAGGGAAAACTACAAAACTGAAACGGATTGCAATTGGTTGTTGAGTACACTGCTCTACCAGTTAGGCCATGCTGCACCGGGCGTGGTAACGACAGTTTTGCGGCATATGGGGGGTGGTGTGCGTAGATAGGACCTGGTTGCTAGACAGACGACCAATATCCCGCCAGATCGGTGGCGTATCAGCATCGCCCGATCCTCCAACCCGACCAAGCAGGATTATCACAAACAAAGAAGTCGAAAAAACTCCTAGTCTTCACAGTTAGGCAGATGTCACACTGAAACGTTTAGAGACAGCGGTAAGGCGTAAGGTCAAAGTCTGTGGGGTAGAGCAGCTTAGCAACGTGCGTATAGAGACGCGTGAGAACCCGCACGACAACTTGGCATAGTGTTTTGAGCAGGCTGATGCATAAAGTGCAAATACCGGATGAAATGCGAAAAAGACAAATGCCGCCAAGCTGAAACGATGGGCAACTGCAGCCGAGAGAAGATACAGCCCTTTCTTGGCGGTAAGATAGGCATCTGTCTATCGCATAAGGCCCAGTTGCAGACTGGCTTGTGTATAACTGACACGGGCATCGTGTTTAATGTTTCGGGAAAAGGGACAACTAGTTGGAGTTCACCTAACCTGTTCATCGGCAGAAAATTAAGAAAAAAAATTCGGCGTCCATCTGATACTCACTTTTAAACCAGAGGTCAGAACGTGGACAGTCGTAATTCGCTCTCTGCAAATTTAAGAATGCACGCTCTTAGGAGTCAACTGCATCAAGTGTTTCAGGAATCGCATTGGCAACACGGCGAAAAATAGGGAAATCAATAAGCGCATCTCGGCTGTGTTCACCGCGAAACCGAAGCCACAGAATGAAACTTCCTCATCTGAAGTAACTGCCCCTTGTATAGTATTTTCACTTCCGAAGTACCCTGCTGATTCTTGTGAAGCAGAACTCAATAGACGGCCTACTCATTGCGAATAATATAGACCTGTCCAGATCCGTGCGGTCTAGATTTGGCGTACGGACGCTGGCAGTCGAAAAATCGGAAAAAAATGGGAACTCAGACGTCTTCATCCTTGTCTGTACACCCCTTCCGACCGTAGATTTCTCGTCACCATATCATCGCCTTCGATGGCAGCAGATTTGGTTTGGCGACGAAGGGGAACCAGGAAGCTTCCCTTTCCGTTATCAGCCGGTTGGAGCCAAGGCCCAGACGTTGGTGTACCTGAGGTCAGACAAGGATGTGAGCCCTGCTTCGATTATCATTGGTCCGTGTTCAAGCGTTCAATGCGCCAGCACCTGGGGTTGGATTATCACTGGCTGGCGGTTCATTCTAGTGTCCCAGTCTCTGTCGACAAAACCTATCAATTATTGGTTGCCAGTCGTCATGTGAGCCCGGTATATGTGGTAGGTAGAGGTTTGCGTGTGACACGCATGGACGGGATGCTTGCCTTTGCCAGCCACTACGGGCGCGCTACCCTCGGGCCGTCTTAACACTGGCATTACCGACGAAGACAAGGGAGACTGGAATGGCCATTTCTGGCTTATTAGCCGTCGTCAGCCAGTCATACCCAACTCCGAAGTGTGGAACATCCGAGGCTCGAACTCGCGACCTGTTAGATGTCCGCGCCTCTAACTACTGGGCCATGAGCCCGTTGCCCTGTCGCTTCTCCATCGGGAATATACATCGTCCTAACACTGTCTGTCCGTCGGAGCAAAGTGGACGAGGTAGAAGGAAATGCGAAAAATAACGCGCAAGTCCGCCTCACTGACCCAAGAGTGCTTTCCTTGGCTAGATCACAGTTGATAGCCAGGCCCGGTATTACAGGTGGATGGGATTTGTTTACTGGAGTTTTTTGTAGGGCTACATAATCACATCTGATCCATTTGGCTTCCGTTTTACGTTTGAGGTTAGGATTGCAGTACCGGTTAATGGTTTCCGACTTTCGGATTAGGGTTATACCTTTAGGCTTAGGTTTTCGGGTTACGGCTAGGGTTTGGGTTTACGATTCGGTTTGAGTATTACGATTTGGTTTTACAGTTAGGGTTATGTCAAAGGGCTACGGTTACGTTTAAGATTTCGGTTAGGGTTAGGGTTGCCGTTAGGGTTAAGGGCTGACGTTTGAGGTTAAGGTTAGGGTTAATGTTAGGATAAGGGTTAAGGTCGTCGACCGCTTCCCCATTCCTGGCTACCAACTGCGATCTAGCCCTTTCCTTAAATAAAGATGAACAAGTAGCTAAATTTTGAAAAAGTATACGTCTCCTGGACTCTTTTAGGCCCTTTTTCGCTCAGTTCCGATGGACAGAAAGGCAGTGTCTAAGACGACAAGGTCGAAAGAGAGATTATAAAAGCGGAGTCAAAGGAGCATATTCCCATCAGACAGAGTGCGTCAATGTGCTAGCACTCACAAGCTCGACGATCCAGTGCTTGGGACTCAAATCGCAGTCCCTCGCCACTCGGGATAGGAGTATGGTTGGATGATAATGATGTGAAACGTGTCCTTCCTCCCGTCGGAAAGTTACCTATCAAGGGCCTGCGCCTGACTTTCGACAGTTTGTGAGTCACGTACCCATAAGAGGGCTACAAAAACGCAAGTGGACATGAGATTGGACGCAGTAACTGACCAGGTATTTCGTTTCACTCTCTTCAGCGTGACACGCGTGCTAGTCTCTCAGATCACACGAAGTCCAGTTTCATTCAGGCACCTGTTCGACAACAGAAATTTAGTCCGGTGTTAGGTTTAATACGGCAGCGCAACTCAGGTTGAAGGTTCAGGCCAAAGCTTGTGCAGATCTCAACAGAACCAAACACTTCGGCCAATAAAGTGGCCGAGGTCACGGGCAACGTGTACATTAAAAAAGTAAGAGCCCTAGTGATTAATAATACTGACCTTTGTACAAAGGATGATGAGAGAGTTCTCCGCGAGAGCTTGAGTGAGCGTCTCAAACATCTGCACGCTTGAGAGATCAGTCCCGGAGGTAAGTGGACCAAAACAAAGAGAGTCCAGCACGCAGCCAGTAAAGTCCAGCAGCACATCTTCCAATCGCACAGACTCCAAGCGATCGTAGCCTCCAAGGAGTCTAAAATAGAGGAATACCGAACAATTAGAACACAGGAGTATGTCACCTTTCGACGCTGTCGAATCCACGGGAAGGACTAAGTAGGAAAGGACCAACTGCACCGTACCACTGTTTCTCTTCTGTCTACCGTGCATTACCAACTAAGCTGGGTTATATTCGATTTGAAGGTAAGTCACCCGCCCCCAATGCGGACCGGAATCCGATGTCTTACCACCTCGAATAAGCGGTCAGGCTCTGACAGCTGTACTTACAAATAGTCACGTGCGACCGGCTTAACGATCAAGTTCTAGCACCAAGGCAAATCGGCCCCTACGGCAGTCAGCGGCAGTGACTATGTAGAAAGATCATTACAGGTAAGCGTATGGAAGGAGACAGACAACGGGATCATTTCGCCGAAGCGGAAGAAATTGCAAGAAGGGTGAATAGCAGTGAGAAGAAATAAGTAAAGACAGAAAGGCAGTTTAACGACTTACAATTATGAAGACAAAGTTAGCTTTGCAATTTCTGTCAAAAGTGTCATTCGCCTCTTGCGTAAGAGACAAGGATAACTGTTGACAGGAATGAGAGATCAGTTTGTGTGAAAGTGGGCGAGCCCCAAGAAAACCCGTAATCACAACCATTTTACTCAGAGATCAGCCAACGACTCGAAAAAAAAACCAATAGAACTGTGGTTATGAGACCAGAGAGTTAATCAGCCAAACACCTTATAGTGGTGCGTATGGCCAATGCATAAATGACGACGCTGGGGGGAAGACGTTGTTCTCGTCAGACTATCTTCCCGAAAAAAACTTTGCCAAAACAAGATATTTTTTGCAAAAAAAACAAATGTCTCAAATGACGTATGGGTTTTGGTTTTTAGAAGAGTACCACGAAAACAGCCATAAAAGACGAAACTCTCTCCTTGAAGAGTATTTATTAGTTGCTGGACGGCCTCTCAGCGCTAGATAATAACCCTAGAGGGATCCCTGAATAAAGCTGGGAGTTGGAAGAAAACGAAAAAACCGTGACACGAAAAGCAGCATAACTTCTAAAACAGACTATAGGCATCCAATGAAGTGCGGCAACATTCTGGAGGCAGATATTCTCACCTTAACGAAAGCAGGCAACGTGCCATTTACGAGAAAAGGAAAGGACAATGGCAAAAGAACAGACAAAAGTCTGCTATGCCATAGTGAATGCTGAGGTTCTCCTACAAAGACCCTATAATTGAGGGGTGCATTGTGCTTCAAAACTGCGGCAACAATCGACAACTTGAAATTTCTCGCTAGAATTCGATCACCTCATCCAGTCAATGATTAAATCATGGCGCGACATATGACGGCAAAAAGTGACGCCACACCTCAAAAAATAAACTTCCCAAGGTAGAGAGCAAAATTGTGAGCGCTACGATTTATTTAGTGTGAAGTTGCGGCCAGAAACAGGAAGATATGCGCAGCCCGTGCCGAAGCCAGTTTTCTACGACTTCGAGTAATGTGGTCACTCTGCATAAGTGATCTCCAGAGGCCAGAAAAATCCAAAATAATTCAAACTACATTTTAAAAGAGCGAAATTCAAAAAAGAAGGACGATGCACTTGTAATTGCATCCATTCCCCGCACCAGACATCTGACCGGCTCGAACAGTTGGCTGGTGCCTGTGAATGGCACGAGAGGGTGAGGTGACGACCCAACACATTTTCCTCACCATTGGCAATATGATGCGTCTGAAGCTATCACGGTGTGCTAAAAGTTGCAGTTTTGGAGGTTGTCAACTGACAGGATAAATCGGGCCTCGTAGTCAGCTCAGTATTCGTTTGTGCGGAGTGGTGCACTGGTGAACTGAGTGTTAGGCTGTAATGGCTTCTCCTTAAAGTGGCCTCTATTGATGTGCGAGACATATCAATCTATACCGTAGTAGACTCTAGCTGCCACAACGAAGATCGTAAAACCTTATTGGTAACGAAAATAGGACTAGGCATGTGACTATACGTTTCGTAGTCCTCTACGGGAGGGCGACCGATCACAAACAGAGCATTAAAGAAGAAAAGTGTAGCTGTCAACTAATGATGAGCGGTGAGACACTGTACGGATTATGCAGCAAAGGGATAGCACATAGCCAGAAACGGATGCCTGAAGAAAAGCTTGAAATCTTGAACTTCCTCAGTTTGTAGATTATTTTGCTTTCTCATATTAATACTTCGCACTTTTGACGTTAAACTGGAGGGTAGCCATTTGTGCTGCCTGTCGTGATAATGATGGCACCCCGGCTTAGTGCGGTGACAGTCATCTTCACTATGACATAAAGCATGCAAATCAGCGTTAAAAATTCAAATTTTAAGAGTTGTATAAAAATTCGCATTGGGATGGTTCTGCTAAGTCTGTAGGAAAGGGCTATTGGAAGGGCTTGTTAGCTAAGGAAACGGGTCAGCGTAATTGCTAACTGTGACACATATACAACTGCCAAAATCCGTTAAACAATTGTTTGCCAGTCAACTGGGCTTAAATTAATGAGGCAAATGATTGATCAAGTCGACGAGACTGTTTTCAAGCAGGAAGGAACTTCAACAAGTGTCAGTGTAGGTGAGGAAATTCATCCGACTTGATTTTCGAGTTTATATAGGAAAATGAATCGGGACGGTGGCCTCACCAGTATAAGTTGTGTAACTGTAAAGTCGCAAATTTGTGCGCTAACAACAGTTGCGGAAAATTAAAATGTGTCATAAATCCTAGCGAAATAGTGCAATGCGCGTGATTGCGTTATCGTAAACCTGACAGAACCACATGCTAGAACGGCAATAGGCAAAATAATCAGGTAAAATAACTGCGAAGACATTTACAGCAATTAGGCTGTTGCTAAGTCAATAAGGTGAAACTACCGGATAGATGTGACGTACAGGACCTATAGCCTTTCGGTGTCCACTGGTTGGCCTCGCCAATGCACCATAAGTCACTACGACACTTGACCTAGTGTTCATATTTCAAAAGCGACATTATTTTCTCCGAACGGCCACCGACTAGACGGAAAAAATAATGCCAGGAAACGATCCATATAATGTAGCAGTTGAACAAGTCTCGCTAGATAAAACCGGTCATGTTTCCGGTTGCCAATAAATGCAAAACACCCTGTGTTGATGGAGTCAAAAACACTTCCCGAAAGGTCTGTTTATCCAGGATCGGTGTCTATAAAGTGACATCTTTAACTGAATAAAAGCCGCTCCGATGCATGGTTACAAATATACGTGGTCATAAAAAATAAGTTTGAAGAATTTAAGTGGTTTCTAAGACATATAGTGGGCCGCCCAAACGTAGACAAACACAGGCATGCTAGACTCATAATTAGCTATCAGTGATTACTTCAGAAATGACCGTCAACATATCCGTCCTGGTGGAGGTTGCATCATCTATGTTATCGGCCGCCAAAATCCTATCCAGGTCCACATCAGAAATATCTCCAAGCATAAATGTGGTAGACATCAAAAACTACACAGATGGGTGTTTTGACCGACGTGCAAGGTGTCGCGTAGGTGAACTTTTTAGACATTCTGATATCATGCGGCCAGGATGCAGTAGTCATACGGCAATTAAGTGTTCCGCCGGTTGACCTGGTGACTCCATCCGTGAGCTCTGACAATTACTTTGACTACGGACTACCAAAGTTTCCCTACCAAGACTAAATGAGCTAAGCAGCTAATGACGATAAACATTCTCACGCAAACTGGTAGCCACCACTGTCACAGATCGTCCACCATCTAAACATGGTCATGCTGCTATACCTCCTGGTGTGGGCGTTAGTTTGTTGAATTATTCCGGGTAGTGCATCTAAAGTCGTACCGACTCCCAAAAACTGACATTCCAGGCACCATGGCTTGTCGATAACAATAGCCAGCTCTAGACCCGGAAGTGATGCCAACGGTAGAAGTGGCGTCGGCTTTATTTATGATCATGTCAATCTATTAACAGTCTCAATGGAATTCCATATTCCCACAACAGCGGTCAAATCACAAAGAGAAGTTTGTCCATAGATTACGCAGGAAATAAACAGCGCGCTGCCAAGAGAAACGATCATGATCTTGTCTCGTACGGAAGCACTAAGGATCTTCAAAATATGAGGCGCAGCGCGTCCCAGATGGACACACGATTTGTGTGCAAAATCCTAACCCCGCAACTCTTTCTGGAACAAAAAACTCCTTGTCCAGCAACTTAGAAGGGATATATCATTTAGAACTCATAAAAATAGGAGTTTTGGGACGACTTACTTAGCATATGCCTTAACGAGTATGGACGGCCAGAACTCGTCGGCGCGAGATGAGTGAGGACAGATGATTTTACCATTTAGGCACGGCAACAAATCATCAACAACAACCTCGGTCCAAGCTCCGTCAATCCAAAATCTTGCTTTGAATATTCCAGCGTAGCTTGACAAAGCGTCAAAACTTTCATGAGATTTGATATCAGGAAAAATCTAAAGAGTGATCAGGAGAAAAGAACCTACATTTCCAAAGTAGTCTGATCTTTCATTGATGAGCGATAAGGCAAAAACCACGTTAAGATTCCTTGAATTTCCCAGACATAGCGCCCGAGGCGGTCCTGTATACCGAAAAACGGGATTTTGACATATGTCCTTTGGACGTTGAAAAGTCATCTCAAGCGGCACTTCGCCAGAGAGACACTCACAAGAAGCTTTCTCCATTTTGAAATTTTCATCGGTAAAGAGGATGCCACGGGATAAGTGATCCTGTTTAAGTTTCACATAATCTTCGTTATTAAATTTCACAACATGTGTTTGAGAGCCCACAGCCATGGCCCAAAAAGTAAAGTGGGTCGCATCCAATGGCAACTGACTTCAGTATGTAGGTCAAAGACGGCTAACTAGTTCAGTGCAGTTTGAGGTTGTGTAAATTCTGATGATTTAGAACCGTTCAACGAAAACTCGAACATGAATATATCTTTCTGTGGAGTTATGAGGGGTATTAGATCCAACCCAACAAATTGAGCTTTCAAAGTGGTTATGGCATTTTAATATTATGAGGGGCATTCGCAGACGAAGACAGCACAGGGCAGGTAAAAGAAGATAGCCAGCAGCAGGAGAATAATTATTGTAGACGGACCACCCACTTGTCCTGTCTCCTTTACTGCAATGATCCCTGCGACTATTACTCCTTGAAGGGTTGGCTTGGACTCAGTACCGTGCGTCAACTCTGGATTTTTACAGATCATCAGCCTCACGCATCCTTCAATCAGAAACGCAGACTAGTGCGACAATCTCTGCACAAGAGATTTGTATAGTAAGATAGGGTATATGAGATCGGAGAGCGTACAGTTTCAATGAAGACGGGGATAACAGCGATCAAAAGGAATTATTGGACACTTAACTGCTGCAATTCTGGAGTAGGTACCACATCCACTGGAGTCGTCTACCCAACTCTGTTTAAATCATCGTTTTGGTCTGTAAGGTAAAGAATAAGAAAGCTCGACAGAAGCACAGCACCACAAATCGCCGTTTCAACTTCCCGCCAACGTCACCCTTGTCTGTCACTACAGCATGTGAATTGTCCGAAAATCAATAATTATAGAATGGCGGAGCCATGCCATATTACAGTCTTCATGGGTGTGGAGATCGGGCTAGTTACTGAAGTGTTTGTCTGGAGTACAAACATGAGGGGCTGGTGGTAGTGAAGCCTTCAGACGGAGTCACCAGAAGGGCCTAAAATGCGAAATTAAGAGCATTAACACGTAGACTAAAGAAAAAAGTCCAAACTGACAAACGGCGAATGATGATCTAAGATCCAGTCAAACGGTAGAAACGCGTTTTTTGCGAGGTGGAAACGACGAAAAACAAAACTATCGAGACCGGTGGGATTGAAAAAGTAACAAAAACGCATTTAGGGGTGGCAAGGGGCATAAGCTTATTCGAAGGTAGCATTAAAGGACGCATAGTGGCAAAAATAAAAACTAGTACGCACGGCTGGGCGCATATCACACAACCCGACTGCAGAAAAATTGGGTTGGTTTTCATCAGATACAAAAAAGCATTTGGGATAATCTGTCGCCCAAAACCTCACAGCGAATGAAGACCCTAAGTAAGAAGTCCGCATTTGGAAACGAAAAAGCTCCTTCAACGAGGATTTTCTGGTTTCAATGGTCTGCTACGCCCTGCAAGTTGGTTCAAACCGTGAGTCCTATTTTAGCTTGTATTCTACTAAGAGTTGTCAACAGATATTCGGTAAGCGCTAATTTTAGGTATAATTCCTTTGAAAATATGAGTCATTGAGTTCCTCGCATTCCCTTGTAAGCTCTGAGTTCTGTTTTGGAGGCTGCTTCGTGTAAAACACTCACGCAGCTACCAAAGACCAACAGCCTGGAGGTACATTCCTGTTCAGTACGACAATGCGCAAATAAATTACGCGTTACCGGTTCTAAAACGTGGACGCTGGAGATTCTGTTATGCAGCCAATATTGGATGAGTCTCAAGTTGTCACCATCGCGAGAAGCACTCTGTAGCCCAACAGAAGTTGTCAAGTTGATACCTGATATTTCCGATGCATTTGTCTGAATCTTTTATTGAAAAGCCGGTTGCTCCGTTTTCGAAAGAGCAGGAATTTGCCGGTTTTGTTCTGAAAACTATTATTTTAACCTCGGGGAAGTAACCCGTAGTCATTCGGCAATTTAGTCATTCTCATAATCTTTAGCTAGATGATTCTTGCGTCATGATTTTCAACGCGGATGAAAATGAAGTTTTTCCGTCTATTTTCTATGGGATATTTGCGTTCGCCTGTGAGAGGAAAATCTGTCCCTGTTGATGGATGGGATCACACATTTTTGTTATCCTCAGGCGCTTTGTTGAGCACGACCAGCTTACTTCATTTGACGAATTTCGGCCGGTGAATATCCCTTCAGCAATCTCAAAAATCACAGAGACATCGAACATAGATCAATGCGCGCAACACGGTTTTTAAAATACCATTGACATTTATACTTTTAATTAGGTTCTCAATCACTTACACAGTTTCTCAGTTGAAATCCAAAAAAATTGTGTTTTGGCTCTAATTCACTTGCGCATGCCGTCGTGTATTGTGGATTTAATATAAAACGGAAATATGCTGTTACAATTTTTCACCCAACATAGACACAATTATTTTAAGTGTTATCCTTTTATACAAAACCTTATCCACGTAAAATTTAAAAAAATATATATTTTAACGACAAATCATTTCCATTGAAATCTCTTATTGTGGATTTATCTATACTAGTATTGTCGATAGTTGTCATCACTTTCGCACTACGTAGCCTCACTGTTAAATTCAAATACTACTCACTGTTTTACTCTTTCACCTGTAGCATGGCCAGTTGTCAGAATATTTTACAATTGAGCAAAAATGCATCAATGGCAATCCTGCTGTTTGATCTACAGCTACTAAAAATTGTACATCATACTTTGCCTCATCCTTATATCCTCACAAGTTCCGCGGCTGTCGAAACTATAAATCAGTATTAAACTCTTGTTTCGTTCTCTCCAACATGAAACTACAGGAGACCCTTCATCGAAATTTGAAGGACACGAAATTGTACGTTTTTAATTTGAAAGCCATCAACAATTTGAAAAAATAGACTTCGGGACGCTCGAACATTAACAAAATTTTATGTCCCGGTATGGGTCATTTTCTTCTGTTATTGGTGCCCATTTTGAAGAGAAACTGCCAAAAATTATAGCTTCTACCCTCGCCCACTAGCCTCTACCTTTCTTCTAGAATCCCTCCCCCACTTCGCCCTCGCCCTCTTCCTCGTTCTCCTCCTCCTCGTCCTCGTCCTCCTCCTCCACCTC